TTCCTCCAAAACTTAAATTCTGAGACTGTCTACTAATGTTCTACAGGAGGGAACATTTCTGGGCAATTTTTTTCCTGCAGATAAATCAAAAATCGATGAGGGCATCGTTTTTTTTCCGACTGTCCCCCTGTACTGCCCCTCATCTGTTACTTTCTATGGGAGATTATGGTTTTTGTGGTTCCCAGAATTTGGAGTGGGAACAACCATTCTTGTGTTCCTGAATATTAGGTATAATCTGATAAAACAATATACAATAACACCTTGCTCAGTCTGCAAATTCCATTCTGGGAATGACTTTGATCTGCGGCAGATTTCATGGATTGAACCTAGGCCTAATTTGCGGACTTTCTTGCTTCTTCTCTACCCTCTTTTTAAAACAGTATCTTCAATATTTCTCCTAATGAAGATTTCTGAAGAAAGACTGCTTATTTCCTCACGTGTTTATCTATTCTAATATATGTATTACTGAGGCATGAATTTTGCATTCTTCTTTTTAATCTCTCCCAAACAGAAGACATAGCACTTGCCAAAAACCTAAAATTATTCCTTATCTGGGATTTTCAAACTAGCTTGAGGGTCATCAATAGATTTAGGCCCACAATTGTCTAACCCTGTAGAAAAGTAATAATAAAGGAAGAGGAAGCTTAGTAAAAAGATCAGCAACCCTCATATGTGGAAGATGATGTTCAATTTTACTGAGCATCTCAGATTAGATGAAGATTCCTTCAGAAGAGGAACTTTTTTGCCTAGCCTGAAGAGATAACAATATTAGTGCCAAATTGTCTTCCATGGAAGGGTAGTCCATAGACAAATCCCCCCAACTGCGAGAGTTTTCTACATATGACTACCTGCCTCAGTTTACCCAGAAAGTGGCCAAAGAGCTTCAGCATGTATTGTATATAAGGGAGGAGACATTTCTCAATATACTTTGGTCCTAACCCATTCACAGCTTTGAAAAACTAACATCAAATCTTTGAATTTCACCCTGCAGTGGACTAGTAGCCAACACAACTTTTAGAGCGCTAGTATGAAATGATTATATCAATTTTGAACTCCTGGAGAAATGCAGGTTGTAATTTAACTAACTGAATAAATTGTTGACTCTATACGTCTGAAAAATTTTCTAGGCAATTGCCAGAAGGCCTAATCAATGAGGGGTCCTTGGTGCTCTCTGAGCTTGATTGTTTTCTTGCAGATGTTTCATTACCCAAACTAGGTAACATCATCAGTGCTAGCAGGGAGTGGGGTTTGTTCTCATTTTATATTCTACTGCCTTGTCCTGTCAATGTTGGTGAGAGCAGTCTTGGTGGTTCTTTGGTTGGGTTGTTTATTGTCAACTTGTTCAGCTGTTCTTCATTGGGATATTGTTTGTGTGTCCAGCAAGAAGACATAATGAAAACTTCTTAATTTCACAGCACATGGGCAGAATTAGCCATAGATTCAACTGTGAACTATGACCAGCCTAGACCAAGTCAAGTCCAAATATGCTAGAAAATTCCTGGAAGCCTGGCACTCTTAACAAATCAGTCATCAACAATCACATAGACATAAACAACATTTATGTACTATTCAAAAGAGACACTCAACAAGCCAAAAAGGGACCCGGAAAGACCAAAACATCTCCCCACCATCAATCAACACCAAGATTAACATTAGACAATCAAACGCTGCTAAACAAACAGTAAACAGCCCCAATCAAAGAACCACCAAGACCACTCCCATCAATACCAACAGAGCAAGCCACTAGAATTTAAAATGAGAACAAACCCATTCCCCACTACCACTGATAATGTTACCTAGTTAGGGTAATGAAATGTCTGCAAAAAAAACAAGCAAGCTCAGGCAGTACTATCTACCTGCAAGGCAACCACGTCCGTGTCGATCCCAAAACTGAACGTGAAGCAAGAATGAAGTGGATCTAAAAAATTAGCCTTCAAGCAGTATCTCCAGGCTGGTTGCAACCATTCACCCAGCTTATTTCTAGGTCTAGGATTAAAGAAATTATTTAATATTATAATTCCTTTTATTATTTGAAGCAATTGAAAATGGGCCTTGGAAAAGCCCTATTCCACTTCAGTTCTTCCCATTCATTTTACTAATAGTCATCACAGCTTATTAACTAGAGTAAGAATTTAGTGTTAGGCAAAAGTAACCATAGCAAAGGCATAACCTTTAATCATGGTCAAATCACCTATAGAAAGATGGGCAAGTATTTAATCCTGCGGCCTAATTATATCCTTCAATCATGCTTCACAATTGCATTAGAATCCCTCGGAGTCCTTGGCAATGCAAATACATCCTGAAACACATTTTAATCCCTGAAAGCAAAAGTTACAAATAAAGAGATTAAATTTCATATACTGCGGATGATTACAGTGAACCACTTATCAAACAACTTTCTACATGGAGTTTCTAAATGAAATATGAAATCTCTGTGGAAGGTACACTTCAATTCAACCAGGATGAATTTTTTAGCCAGTATGCATATGAGGTCAGACTAGATAATTGTAATAGTCCCCTAACTGGTCTTAAAAGTATATGAATTTAAATTGCTTCCATACTTAATAGACTAGAAGCAGCTAAAGGGTATCCAAATTATGGTCAGTGAATGAGACCACAAAGAGGTTTAATACCAGTTGGGGCAGATAAAATAGCAAGAGAGCACATAAACCTTTGATCCACAGAAGGTTCTTGAAAGGGAGAAGTGCATTTAAATCTTTTCCAACAATGAATCGACTTGAGGTTTCCATTGTTCAATTTAAAGTTTGAACATTTTTTTTCCCCAACAAAGCAAGGGAGTACATTTTTTCTCCCTCTCTCTTCAAAATCAGAGAGAAAATACAGTTTACTGTTTTCATAGTATAGCCCTGTGCAAGAACTGATCCGCAAAAATAGACACGTTGCTATCTCTGGTTTGCCTTTTCCTGATCAGGACTGAACAATGAGATTTTTAAGATTTGTTTATAGATTAAAAATGGGATATGAGAAGAAAGGATCATTTGTTGTATTTTAAGAGAAGGTAATTACAAAAATTGTTTACATTTATACTGATGATGGGTGATATCATATCTTTGTATATATCTGTTCTTTTTCTTTACTATATGGTATTATTTTTTCTTTTGTTTCTATTTTTTTCTTTTCTCCATCCTCTTTTTTTCTTTTTAGTTTGTATTAGTCTTTCTTTTTAATTATAGGTTTGATAACATGACTATTAAAACCCTTATTTATTTCACGTCTAACAAACGTTGTTCCTTGAGTGATTTTTCAATTGTTTTAAAGCAGAACAATATTCTGAAAAACAATCTATTTTTAAACATGCAGTCAAATTTAGCTTTAAAATGTAAGGAAAAGAAATCAAGAAACAAAGATTTAAGTGTTAAGGACTTTGAAATCTCTTTTATTCTTAGTCCACTTGTATATGAACATGGAGCCAATCAGTACTTAAATCTGTAGCATCTGGGCTTAGTTTAGAGAATTATTATTGATGATGGGTATGTGGGGAAAAAAACGACAGCATAAATGTGAAGTTGTAGTGAGAAAAACAGAATGCTCAAAGGTTAAAAAAAATCTTTTCATCTATTTGGCCACCCCTGTCACCTAATTAGAAAGAATTCTCCCTCTTAATATTGAAAAACATAATCATTCAACGAAGCAGAAGCCCAAGACAGTCAAAAAGAAATATGTCTTCCCACATTACCTACTTAACCAATGAAATTCACTATTGCAGGATGCAATGGTAGCTACCAACCTGATCTGCTTAAAAAGAGATTAGACAAATAAGGTATAAGGCTCTCAATAACTAAAATAAAAGGTAGTTTTCTTCTTTCTTATTAGTAGCTGGAAAACGTTAGGAAGAGGTAACTGTTACCCTTTTTTAGGTTTCTGGTAGGTAGAGATGGCTAGCTACCACAGGAAACAAAATATTGGACTAAACAAGGCTCCCCTTACTAGTATGCTCCTAGCTATTTTGCAAGCTAATTGATAGGAAATTAAAAATAATATTGAGAATATTATGTGGAACAGAACCCTTTTCCTTCCTGTTCAGCTGATGAAATGCAGCTGTTTCACGGGTGCTATTTAAAGAGCCATTGCATGTTTCATTTTAAGACCCTGCAAGGATTTGGATCCATAACCATATTTAACAATCATTACAGACATCTCACAATTAAGTTTGGTACCTAAATGAAATGTAGAAAGTTTCCACAATTTGGGAATCATGATGAATTTTGATTACACACAGTGATAGTAAAAGGGGTCAGAAATCACTTACAACAGAACACTTTAAATTAAATCACTTTTTTCATATTCCCAAGAATCCATTTACATAGCCTGAATGGCTGAATTCCAGATCAGTAGATAAACTCCCTTTGTTCATATATTTGATGCAAACCAATTATGGATTCTTTGGCAAAACTATTCCAAACCAAAAGACAGCCACATTCAGATTCAGGATACGCTTATTTTGAGGATAAAATATGCAAATTAAAAGGTTGGGTTTAGTGATCATGCATTCATGAGTAGTATATCTATAGCATTCGAAGAGTTGTGTAACACAATGACTCAGGGAGCAACATGCAGCTCTTTCTGAAACACCCATATTCCTTCCTTCCCTAATTACAACATCTATTTTATTGGTCCTTAATGGACATTGTCAAACTCTACACTTACCCTGTCATTATTATATTACTATTATTATTCATTTACAAATTGTTATTTCAAGAACATATCTGGTTATGAGTCTGATATACATAGGCAAGGATATCTTTTAAATCAGGGGTGTCCAATCTTGGTAACTTTGTGGATTCCAACTCCCAGAATTCCTCAGCTGGCTGGGGACTTCTGGGAGTTGAAGTCTACAAGTCTTAAAGTTGCCAAGATTAGACAGCCTTTTGAATGCTTTTTTGTAGAAAGGCCGTCTTAAAGAAAAGAGAAAAGAATCTAGCAATAAGCATAGCATGTTCACCCCCAGTAAAGGAAATGCCTCAAGGTTTCTCTCTTACCAAGAAAAGTTCAGCCTGTAATTCTTTGTAACTTTTTTCATTATCCTGGAGTGTCTCAGAGAGGTCTTTAATTACTTTCTTCTTTTCTTCTATCTCTTCGTTTAGATGTTTGTTTGCAGCTAGATACTCCCTTTCTAACCTGAAAAGACAGCCCAACATTTTTGGGAAAGATTTAAAGATGTCATATACTCTTCTCGATGAAACAACAATATTACTATGCTATCATTTTGCTAACATTTAAGAAAACCAAAAAAAAAATCTAAAGAAATGCTGAGATACCAATAGACAGTCATCAGCTATAGGTTGTTATTATTTATTTAGCGCATGGCATATCATACATGGACCAGCAATATATATTAACATTTCTATAGGGTGAATTAGGCACAACAGGTCAATGGATGTGGTAGCATTTAACTGTTCTAATAATCCAGTACATCTTCTGGGAATAATCAAATTCAGGTTATTTAAACTCATTGAATGGCATCAAATATATTTGACTAGCTAAAAGATAAAATCTGAAATCCAGGTAGTCCTCAGCTTACAACCATTCATTTAGTGATTGTTCGAAGTTACAATGGCACTGAAAAAAGTGACTTATGACCAATTTTTCACACTTACAATGTTGCAGCGTCCCCGTGGTCAAATGCTTGGCAATTGGTTTATATGAACCAATATTTATGATGGTTGACGCAAAGTCAATGGGGAGGCCAGATTCACTTAACAGCCCATATACTTAATTAACTGCAGTGATTCACTTAACAATTGTGGCAAGAAAGGTCATAACCTGGGGAAAACTCATGAAATTACTATCTCGCTTAGCAACAGAAAGTTTGGGCTCAATTATGGTTGTGGCTACCTGTAATAAACTATGTTAATTTTATGTTCTTTACAATGAATACATTTCAAAATAACATGAAAAAATGTAATCCAAATGTAGGGACGAAGCGGGAATTAAGAAACATCTTACAGGCTTGTGTATTATTGTCTATAACTCACATGTGGAGATTCTAATATTGCTTTCTTGGGTCTTGCTATAATTACAACTACAGAGAAACTATTCCGGTGTCTGTTCAATGAATTCTCTCCTTCTCTTTCAGGGAATTTAGGAAGGGTTTCACCAACACGAAGATTTCTCCTCACATCTTGTTCCTAGCTATGGTGGCAAACTCTGCTGCTGGAGCTTCTCCAATATCAAAACAATATCGAAGAAAAGAGACATTTGTTTAAAGTATAAGAACCATAAAGTGAGGGGAACCGCAATGATCTTCAAGTCTTGCTATCCTTCTGCATTACCAACATGAATTCAGCAGGGCTAATATTATGTTCTTCTAGCGAAAGAATTTACACAGACCTTCCTACACCAGTGGGACTGCTTTGATGTATTGCAGTAGTAAACTGTCAAGGATATCCTGATAAGAAGACAGCAACCATTTGGAGTATAGTTATAAAGGAGAATTTTTATGGGTTTTTTTTCCAGTTTCTACTGCAATATACATATCTATCATTTAACAGAATATTCAAACAATATTGCAATTCTGGACTAACATATTGAAAATTACTAACAGATCCGCTTAAAAATCTAAAAGAATCAATAAATCATATTTTGACTGAAGCCTGAAATCAACATCCTGGAAGTGAACAATCTGATCAATATCTGATGAGCGATGTAAGAAAAAAATGGTGTCTGATGTTATCTATGAAATATTTTAGTTGGGCTATTTGTAATCAGAGTAAAATAACACGGAGGGAATTGGTAGTGTCTTTTTAATACCAGATACGTTAAAGAAAGAATTCTGTAAGATAACTTCTAGTGTGGGGTGAGACCATTTTTTAAAAATCAAGACAGGAAAATTCAGAAAGATTTACTCAACATCTTCTTTAATGTACATTATTGCACTTTTTTTATTTTGATTTTATTTTCTATATTTCCCAATTCTGGTCTGGCATGAATTAACTCAGTCCTGTACTAACTCTTCCTACAAGCAGGAAGAGGGTCTGTTTTAACATTCCTAAGCGAGGGAGGGAGGAGGGAAGGAGTGGAAAAAAGAAAGGAAGGAAATGTTTTAAATGCTGACTTGAGTTCTCATTTTGCACATTATACTAAATCAGTAGTAGTCAATTATAGCCCTTTTAGAATGAAGACTAACTCTATGAATCTATATCTATAGAGAGAGAGATAGATAGATATATCTATAAAGTTTATTAATAAAATTGTTGCATATTTTCAAATATTAATTTAACTGACATTTATTGCTTTTTAGGGAGCTAAATATTGCCCCAAATGCTCAACATCTAATTTTAGTATCACTACAAAAGGCTATTCCAGGAGATACATATCAGAGAATGTATCAGAAAATCCAATTAAGCTTTGGTTCATTTTTCTCAATAAATAAATGAACAAGTGTAATTTGTTTAATTGGGTTCTCTTTATATTGTTTTAGAACATATGTGTGTGGAGCATTGACACATTTTAGTCATCTTTAGGCCAAAATATTGAAAATTCCAAAGGTTTCACAAACTGTTAAGCAGCCTAAGTCTTAAAAGGGATCCGTAGGCATGGAATTCTTTTAGGATTGTCAAAAATGACCCCACAGGGGCCAAAAATCACACAGCAACTCCATTAACTCCATATCACATCACCCCATTTAAAGTCACCATCCGCTCTGTGCTGTGTGAGTTATAGGGGGGGGGGACAGATGAGTATTTTGTCGACTGGTGTGAGTCTTTCCCCTCAAATGCCAATTCTCAGTCAGGAAAGAAGCCACTCACATGTCGAATTTTTCCAGGCTGTCATGAGCATTTCGCTTCTCTCTCTCATAGGCATTTTCCACCTCTCTAAATTTGCCTTTGAACATTTCCAGGTCAGAAACTGCTTCTGCTTGGCTGGCCTTCTCCACTTGCAAAGCTCCTTCAAGGTCTCGGATCCGCAACTGCAAAAATCACAGGAGAACAACAATCAAGATTACAAGAGGCTGCGGAGCTTCGCTCTCTGTCAGATCAAAATGAGGCAAGACAAAATGGCTAGGCCAAAACCATTCCACATACAGAGAAAGAGAGAGAGAGAGGTTTATATACATAAAGTCCAGGATAAGTGTAGCTTTTCAACCACCCGATCACTATAGTTAGGTAAAAGAAATACTGGCTATGATGAACTCGGATTAACGTTGACAGGCAATCACAATGCGGTTAAGAGAATGGGTGAATTCAGGGCCATGTATAATATTCTCCGATCCCACTTGCCCAATCAGAGTCAGCTTCTGCTGCCCTTAACCATGACTCTGTTGGCGCATGATCAATAGAAAAATCAAAGCACCGAGACATGTACACACCACAGTGCAAACAGTTCAAAACATTTGAAAAGAATTATTTGGATCCAACAGATTCTACACGGGAAAAAAAATGAGAGAGAAAATTGATGGGAAAAAAATGCTTATCGGCATTGCTTAAGCTTTCCGCCCCCCCCCCCCAAGGAAATGTACATCTTTCTTAGTTATTACTGGATAAACAGTGCACAGAAGATTTTCCCATTAGACTTTAGGCTGGTGTTTTGTACAGCGTTCTGGTATTTGGCAGTGAGGCAAAAGATCTTATGATATAAATTATTTAGGACACAGGTTTAAACACATTCCTTCACAGGGCCTTGGTTCAGAATTTGACACAGAACTGAGAAAGCATGTAGAATCAACATGGCAAGCTTCTAAGATTTATTTGCTCGGAAAGATATACATTTCATGACTAAAATGGAAAAGCGACCATGATATCCTTTGGGCAGCATTTTGCCTTAGTATTTGTAATCCAAAATCCGTCTAGAGGCATTCATAGAACATAGAATAATGGAGTTGGAAGTGACCATGGAGGTCTTCTAGTCCAATCCCCTGCTGGAGCAGGAGACCCTGTATCATTTCAGACAAATGGTTGTCCAGTCTCTTTTGGAAAGCCTTCAGTGATGGAGCACCCAAAAGTTTGAAAGGCAAGTTATTCCGGTCTCTTGTCATTTTCTCCAGATCAGCTTTAAGAATTCAGATCAGTTCCTAGATTTGAAAGCAGGAGATGCAGCTAGTTACAGAACTTGAATTATGAGGATTCTGCTTTAGGATGAATTTTGATATCATCCGAGGAAGACAAACAGACAAATGATGACAAAGGCAACAAATATAGTCCTATAGCCAACTCATCTCTATTTATCACCCTTGAATCGAATTTTACAGATTTAGCCTTAGGAGAATAACTGTTGATCCAGCCTGATATGATGACCAGGGAGGCTACATCAATTTAGGAATCAACCTGGGGTGTTTAAACTTCACTTTGCCTTGCTGATTGATGCATTAAAATCCTCCAGTTTGTCCAGCACGTTCTTTTTATTAGTTAATTAGTTACAAACCAATTTATTTATTTATTTATTTATTTATGAGACTTATATACCGCTTTAGGTGCAAGCACTCTCTAAGCGGTGTACACCAGTAAGCAATGTATATATATATTTACATTGCCCCCAACAATCTGGGTCCTCATTTTACCTACCCCGGAAGGATGGAAGGCTGAGTCAACCTTGAGCCGGTGAGATTTGAACCGCTGACCTGCTGAACACAGTCAGCTAAAGTGGCCTGCAGTACTGCACTCTAACTGCTGCGCCACCTCGGCTCAATTGTCCAAATACTTTCAAGGAATTGTTCTTTAAAGATGATTACATTTCATACACAAAAACATAAAATTAAATGTAAAATAATTAAACATGTGCCAACAATCCAGGTGTGCAAAAAGCCTGCAATGCACTTATCGATTCCATATGATTCTTTTCTCAATTTACCTGAATTATTTCAGAATTAAATTTGGATTCCAGATGTGCCGCCCTCTCGGCCTCAATGTTTTCCTCCAGTTTTTTTACTCTGGCCATAGCTAGCTGTTAAAAAAAGTTAATAAGAAATTAACAACACACACATCTCAAATACTTCCCTAAACTCTTGGTTTAAAAGTACTATTTAATATCAATCCAAATTTTGCTTAACTGCATTGGCTCCTAACTACTTCCATATTGGTTCATGAAACTTATCTTGTTTTGTGAAGTTTTACAAGGGCCACATTCAGCATACCTAAGTGGTCTTCTTCTCATATATAAATAACCAGATATTTGTTTCCTAAAAACTTTATTGACTATGCCATAGTAGTAGAATATTCAGAATCCATTATTATACAAATATACTGATTTCAAACACATTTTAATCTATTCTGTTTTAAAAGACCACTGAGGGTTATTTTATTTTGCTTAACTTTGGCCTCTACATAGCTGTGACACTTTCTCTACTGTGGCCATGTTTTTAAATCTCTCCATTTTTTTATTATAAATTGAATTATAATTAATATCTGTGCAAAACTATTCAGAGAGGCATTTCAGAGTGCCAGTAAAATGCCCCTTAAATACACAGCTCAAAGCACACGCCACTTCAGCAAGATGGTCCACGTGTCAATTGCCCTTGAATCCATATAGGTAGCTCTAGGCCAGGGCTAGGCAAACTTGGCTCTTTTATGACTCGTGGACTTCAACTCCCAGAATTCCTTAGCCAGCATGGAAACCTCTCCCTTTCCCCTCAGCATGTCTGGCTCAGGAATTCTGGGAATTGAAGTCCACTAGTCATAAAAGAGCCAAGGTTGCCTACCTCTGCCCTAGGCATATGATCACGATTGAACCCCAAAATTTCTATAGCTAAGCAAGACAGTTGCTAAGTGAGTTTTATTCCATTTTGCAACCTTTCCTGCTACAGCTGTTAAGGGAATCACTGCAGTTGTTAAGTTAGTAACACAGTTGTTAAATGAATCTGGCTTCCCTGTTGATTTTGCTCATCAAAAGGTTGCTTAGGGCAATCACATGACCCTGGGACACCGCAACAGTAGCAAGTATGAAAAAGGATCACGGGGAAACTATTTTTATTATGCTAATATTTATTGTATTTTATTATGCTAATTTTTATTATGCTAATGTTTATTATATTTTATTATGCTAATGTTTATTATATTTTATTATGCTAATATTTATTATATTTCATTGTGCTAATATTTTTTCCCGTGCAATTGTAACCAGAAAAAATCACTAACAGATGGTTGTAAGTTGAGGATTACCTATACGTTCGTGGCATGTAACAGTTCTTGTGGTAACTACCCTGAATTTGAATTTTGAAGAGAGGCTTCCATGAAGTACACCTCTAAATGGTTTACACAGCCTCAGTTAATCAATCCACACTGGATACAGGTAATCCTTGTTGAACAACATTCAATGACTGTTCAAAGCTATGACAGCACTGAATGAGGAGGACTTATGACAGGTCCTCATTGTCAAAGCCATTACAGCAGGGGTCCTCAAACTCGGTCACTTTAAGACGTGTGGCTGGGGAATTCTGGGAGTTGAAGTCCACACGTCTTAAAGTGACCAAGTTTGAGGACCCCTGCATTTCAGCATCACATGATCATAATTTGGGTCTTCTGACACTGCAGTATCCTGCAGTCACGATCACCGGCTGACTTCCAACAAGCAAAGCCAATGGGGAAACCTGCAGGTCACAAATGGCAAATCACAGTGACCACAGCACACTGCACCACACAGGATTTGCCTAATGAAGGCAAATGGAACTGCCACAACTCTCATCGTAAGTTGGCGCAGTCATGTAACATCAAGCTTTACAACCAGGATGCTTAGCAACAGAGTTGCCCGTCTCAATCGCCATCTTTAAGTGATAACTACCTGTGCACTTGTAGAAAATCTAACAAAGACATGAACAGAACAGAATAACAGAATTGGAAAGAACCTGCAAAAAAATATTGGTCTAAGATTCATAGATGGTTAGAAAAGATGATGAAAATCCAGATAGAATTTAAACCGGAACTGTTCCTGTTAGGTATATTAAGACCTAACTATGGCAAAGAAAATGATTATTTAATATTACATGTATTAACAGCTGCAAGAATAGTATTTGCCCAATTTTGGAAAAATGAAAGCCTACCATCAGACCAGATTATAATTTTGAAAATCCTAGATTGTGCAGAAATGGACAGATTAACATTAGAGATGAAGGAGAAAGAAGATTCAATCTTTTATAAAACCTGGGGAAAATTTTATCAGTGGGTTGAAACACATTAGAATAAGAAGAGATTTTAGAGTTTTACTATATTAAGTATTAAGGTTGATGATTGGAAATAGTTGTTATGCTATCAACTATGTTAATTATTTAAAAGAATATTAGTGTTTTACCAAATGTCAGTTGTAACTATATCGATTTATTCTTATAAACGTCTAGTATTATATAAACAATAATACTTAATATGAAGACCCGGACGACAGCTTGTTCGCCGAATTACATATTTACTATAGTTATCCACACCCTGTCCCTTTTATACCGATTTTCCTGTACCCGCCCAACCCTACTTTTTCCCTACCCATATAAAATCTAATAAAATATATTTTAAAAAAAAGAATTGGAAAGAACCTTGGAGGTCTTCTAGTCCAGCCCCCTGCACAAGCAGAAGACCCCGTACCATTCCAGACAAATAGCTGTCTAGTCTCTCCTTAAAAGCCTCCAGTGATGGAGCATACACAACTTCTATAAGGCAAGCTGTTCTACTGGTTAACTGTTCTTACTATTAGGAAATTTCTCCTTAGTCCTTAGGACAGGCATGTCAAACTCGTGACGTCACGTGACGTCACACGACATATTGCGACTTTTTCCCCATTGCCAGCAATGGGGTGGGGCATGGTTTCGTCGTGATGCACCCAGCCCACGGGCCGGCAGTTTGACATGCCTGTTCTAGGAGCTATGAGCTAACAAATAAATAGACCTTGTCATTATTTTGCTCCAAAAATACACATTTCCAGAGTGGATTGCTTAAAAATCTATTCCTAGTTTTTCTTTGAAAAAAAAAATTAAGATTCTCTGGCTCTTCTAAAAGAAATGGGTAAACTGTTTTGACACTGACTTGTCTGAAATGGTATAGGGCAGGGGTGTCAAACTCAATTTCACTGAGGGCTCCATCAGCATTGCAGTTGCCCTGGGGGGCTGGGTGGGTGTGGCCTACTGGGTGGGCATGGCCAGTTCTACATCATTCGTGTCAAGGGTGCCTATGGGGGCCTGGGCAGGAGTGGGACAGATCTGAGGGTCTCTGGCAGAAGGGGGTGGGACAAGGGCAAGTGCCAAGGCATGGTCCACCGGGGCAAGTGACAAGATGGCCACCACAAAATTGTACATTGGCTGCCGGCTGCCCTGGGCCAGGGCCAAGGCAGTGGGGGCCATTCCCTTACTGTTTCCAGGATGGCTTCACAGGCCACATGAAACCACTTCGCGGCCCACATCCGGCTCCCGGGCCTTGTGTTTGACATGTCTGGTATAGGGTTTCCTGCCTGAGCAGGAGTTGGGCTAGAAGACCTCCAAGGTCCCTTCCAACTCTGTAATTTTGTATTCTGATAACATCCGTGCTAGTTAAATCATACACACCTAAACACATTAAGACCCATTATTTCTTCCAGCTCTTAATGGTACCATCAACATCAAGACACTGGAAAAACTAAAGACTTATCTATAAAGTCCATGCAGAAGTTGTTTGGCAACATGTGCTAGCTCCAGTAAAAAGAATCTCTGGAAGCCAGAAGGGGGTATTTCTATTTACAGCACATTTCACTTTTATAGGATTTTGGCAGGTAAATAAATCAAATTAGGACTCCAGTTCCAGATAACTGAGCCGGCAGCCTCTTAATTCATAAAACATAATCACCTAATAATTTATTCAGACTATAAATTCTTATCTCCTCCCCATAAATTTTAAAATATTTCCTTCATCCCAGATTTTGGATGATGTTTACTTAATAAGTCCATACATAATAAAAGCTACGTGACAAAACCAAAAAGAAAAAGAAGCAAAAATTAAGCCAAGAGAGTGTGCATTCAAGAAATGCAAATTGCATATCAGCTGTTTTCTGGTTCTAATAGAGGCCTGAAAATGTGTAAGGCTGAAAAAATGTTAAACTGAGGAATGAAGGATACAGATTATTACTGTTAAATGTTCTACAATTGACCTCAAAAACCACTAGAGGGCACCAAAGGAACACTAACACTAAAGCAACCTTTCCTTTTGATATCAGATTGACCTATGCTGGGTTTAAAAACACCTTAATTACCTAAAAGAAAAATAACTGAGCATTTAAAATAATACCCAATACTCAGATTATCCTCTTCTTGGAAAATTTAAAGGACTTTCCATGTAAGATTGGGAAACAACTATCTCAAACTGCTACGATTTGTTATGTAATGCCTTTGTTAATCTTTTCCGCTCTTCACCAGAACCACAAGCCATTTCATTTCATCTCCTTTGTAATTCCAGACTTTGAAGGTTTTTCCTAATTCAATATTAGCATAATAAAAAGGGTTATTTTTTAATTGTTGCTCTTTTTTTAAAAAAACTATCCCCGAACTGTAGATCCATAAGCTATAGCAAACTACAGTAGTTGCTCAGTAAAAGCTCTCCAGGGACTCTGTAAATTGTTTCCCACCTCTTTTTCTTTGTGTTCTAAGAAAGAAAATATGTTATAACAGCACACTGATGATTTGGGGTGAATCCTGTCTCTGTATCTACCCTCCCCATTTTATTCCTGGCACTCTTACCCAACCTGATACACTCTGTATGTACAGGTAGTCCTTAACTTACAACCATTCGTTTAGTGACCGTTCGAAGTTACAATGGCACTGAAAATAGTGACTTATGACTGTTTTTCACACCAATGACCATCCCCATGGTCATGTGATTTACATTCGGATGCTTGACAACTGGTTGCAGCATCCTGGGCTCATGCGATCCCTTTTTGCAACCTTTTGACAAACGAAGTCAACGGGGAAGCCAGATTCACTTCACAACCATGTTACTAATCGAACAACTGAGGTGATCTACTTAAGAAATGTGGCAAGAAAAGTTGTAAAATGAGGCAAAACCTATTTCTCACTTTGGCAATATAAATTTCGGGCTCAATTTTGGTTGTAAGTTGAGGACTACCTGTATCAGGGGTAGGCAACCTTGGCTCTTTTATGACTCGTGGACTTCAACTCCCAAAATTCCTGAGCCAGCCATGCTGAGGGGAAAGGGAGAGGTTTCCATGCTGAGCTATGCTGGCTCAGGAATTCTGGGAGTTGAAGTCCATGAGTCATAAAAGAGCCAAGGTTGTCTACCCCTGACCTGTATTATAATGAATTATAATTTCTTGGACTGTGGATGATGGGAGCTGTGAAAGGCATCGGGCTGGAAAACGCTGCCTTGTACTGATTTATTTCGGAGGTTATTCACGTAGCAGTTCAGGCCTCATCTATTTACCCAATTACTGCTTATGCCACAGACTTCCTCCAAGGGGTACATAGGGAAAGGGAGACCCAGTCAATCAACAGGATCCATTTAACTGGCAGGTGGGTATCACTTCCCTGTGCACGTTTGCCATTTTATTGAATATATCTGTTTCTGTATCCATAAAGTCACTCAGCTGGCTTTGTAGCTAAGGTGGGACTAGAATTCACAGCCTCCTGGTTTCTAACGCCTGAACCACTAAAAGATAACTTCTGAAATAAAACCCCTTCTTTAAAAATTATCAATAACAGGCTGTATCAGGACAAAGCCAAGTACTAACAGAATGTAACACAATGCAAAACAGAACATGAGCTGACCAAAATCTACCTCTCCTGTGACTGGAAATTTCTGGCCAAAGCCCAAGGCCTCTTACTGGGATTTATAAACCAGTTACACAGAAGCTGTGCAAACAAGAAAAGCCTCCTTTATCTGACTTGAATTACGGAAGCAGCTGATTTTTAAAACATTTTTCTTTCCTTTAGGCCTTTCACTGGTATTGCCTTATCGTCTTTTACTCCAAAGGGCCTTGACGAGGTCCCCTTGCTATCAACAGCTCCTTTGCAATGAAACAAAGCCCAGGAACAGAACGGAAGGCAGCTATCAGCTATCAACCTCATTCCTTAGTGACGTTCTTACCTCAAGTTCTTTCCTAAGTCGAGCCTCCCTCTCAGCGCCGAACTGAAGTTCGCTGGCCTGTCGCTTCAAGGCTTCCGAACAGCTACTGTGTTCTCTTTCTAGCTCTTGCATTTTTTTGTGGACATTCTGCACCGTGCTGGTGCTTTCCTGGTGGGAGAGTCATAATTAGTTCTACCTTCAGCATTTTCCTCAAAAGATTTGGAAACAATTTACGCTTGGTCTTTAAATCTAGGAGTAGGCCCAAGAGTCTGCAGACAATTCAGACCCACCCATTAATTGGCATAGTTGTCTCAGCGAAAGGTCCCCATTATTGTTGTCTACCAGCAGCCCCAAGCACCATTACTTAGAAGCAGGAGCTGCACTGTCAATAAAGCTTCTAAGTAAAAACATTAAGGGATTTTTTTTCCATAATACTAAGGTGACCAACCGTCCTCCTTTTGGGAGGAGAGTCCTCCTTTTTTGAGTTCTGTCCTCCCTCAAAAAGTGTCCTCCTAAATGTCCTCCTTTTCCATATACCGTCCTCTTTTTGGGAGGACAGTCCTCCTTTTATGAGTTCTGTCCTCCCTCGAAAATGTCCTCCTAAATGTCCTCTTTTTCTATATTTGAAGACTTATCTGCAGAGCTTTTTTTTCCTCATAGAACGCCCAGAAGGCCCTTTTTTGATGGTTTTTTTCAACTTTTGCCTGAGCTGTGCTACTCCCCCTATTGGCTTTCGAAAACCAATAGGAATTGCTGCTGAACGTGCCAAAACACCCAGGCGGCAAACTTTGCAGGTGCAAGTTGCAGGAACTTTGCATCCCTCACTGCTACCCAACTACACCATCTCTTACTTAGTTCCGCAGAGAGCTGGAGAAGACTGGAGCAGTAAGTTTCTCTTGATCTTCCCTGTTCGGTTCTACACGGGAATGCACAGGGTAGGCGGTGGTGCTGGGGGGTGGCTGCAGGGCTGGAGCCAGCGCAGCTGATGCTTTGAGAGCCACGGGGCTGGCTCTACGGGGATGCGCAGGATGGGCAGTGGTGCTGGGGGGCGGCTGGGGGGACAGCTGCAGGGCCGGAGCCGGAGCAACTGGTGCTTTGCCTTTGCGAGCTATGGGGCCGGCTCTGTGGGGATGCGCAGGGTGGGAGGTGGTGCTGGGGGGCAGCTGGGGGGGGTGGCTGCAGGGCCGGAGCTTGCGCGGCTGGTGCTTTGCCTTTGCGAGCCGTGGGGCTGGTTCTACGGGGATGCGCAGGGGGGGCGGTGGTGCTGGGGGGGGGCGGCTCAGGGCCGGAGCTGGCTCGGCTGGTGCTTTGTGAGTCGCGGGGCCAGCTCTCCACGGCAGGGCAGCGGTGCTGGCGGGGCGGCTGTGGGCGGGGGCGCGGCAGGCAGTTGACCTTCCATGGGCCGCGCCAGCTGGTGGTCTACGCAGTGCTGACCTGCGCTGCCACCACCTCACTCTGCGCATCTACGTGGCCATCCTGGAGTGCCTGGCTCACAACACCTGCCTCCGCCGCCCATTCCCGCGCAGTCCAGCCGTGTAGATTTTTGGACAAGTGAGAAATAGAGATTGAATGTTGATACTCTAGCTGCAGCACTTGCCGTAAAATTCAATATGAAGGATATTTCTTGTTCAGATATTTCCAATATATTGTTAGATGATACATTGACAAAAAATATTCATTCAATGGAAAAGTACTCATTTAAATAATTAATAGGCATGTAAGCATAATTACAATATAAAATGTTATTGTTACAAATGTTTTTTATTATGCATTGATCATATTATAGTGTATTCTGTATTATTGTTGCAATAAATACAATGTTTCTTTTATTTACGATATTTTTTTCTTCAATTTATTCGTGTCCTCCTTTTTGTTGTAAAAAAGTTGGTCACCTTAGTAATACCTAAAGAACTTCCATTTATTTATGACATCTAGAGCAGCTTTGCTGGCTGAGGAATTCTGGGAGTTGAAGTCCACAAGTCTTAAAGGTGCCAAGGTTGGAGACCCCGGCTCTAGAGGTTCACATTGCCATTTTAACTGTTTCAACTTCAGATTTGTCACAGGTATACATAACAGAGTATAGTTAGTCCTCGACTTACGATCACAATTGAGCCCAAAATTTCTGTTGCCAAGTGAGTCATTTGTTAAGTGAGTTTTGCCTCATTTTATGGCCTTTCTTGCCTCAGTTGTTAAGTGAATCACTGCAGTTGTTAAGTTAGTAGCCCAGTTGTTAAGTGAATCTAGCGTCCCCATTGACTTTGCTCGTCAGAAGGTTGTAAAAAGTGATCACATGTTCTCAGGACACTGCAAAGGTCATAAATATGACTCAGTTGCCAAGTGTCTGAATTTTCATCACACAACCATGGGGATGCTGCAACAGTCATAAGTGTGAAAAATGGTCATAAGTCACTTTTTTCAGTGATGTTGTAACTTTGAACGGTCACTAAATGAACTGTTGTAAGTCAAAAACTACCTGTACGTCTAGGTCAGAGGGTGTCAAACTGCTGGCCCGTAGGCCAGAGGCATCATGGCGAAACCGCGCTCACCCCATTGCCGGAATGGGAAAAAAAGTTACGATATGTCATGACACGTCATGTGATGTTGCGAGTTCGACACCCGTGGTCTAGGTAATAATAGTAGGACTAAAATTATTTTATCAACAATACAGTATTTTTTAATTTATTCCTTTCTTTTATATTCCAACTTTTTGCCTGTAGGCCTCAAGCCAGTGCTTCTGTTTCATTTTCCGCTCAACCAATGTCTGCCACCTAAGTGTTAAGTGCCAGTTTGCATTGACTAGCCCACAGTTATCATATTTCAATGGAGTTTTTCATCCGGGTTCCCCCACGACAAATCCTATATTTATCCATTACTCCTTGCTGGTCCCTTTTATTTCCTAACAACAGACACCCACACACAGTCATCTACACTACATGATCAACTATGCTTAACATGAGACGTATAGTCCCAGGGTCCTTCAAAAAGCTATCACCACAGAGATTTTTTTTTATTGTTGCAGCGGATGAAAACAACAGCAATTATTATAGCTGTATTTAGTTACTATAACATTCCATTCATTCAAACCATTTTTGCATTTGTCCTTGTCTTCCTTTCTTCGTTGCCTGATTCAGTAAACTTTTAGAGATCTAGACTAGCACCAGCCCAGAAAAATATCCCATTAGCTTGAAAGTGAGTATATGCTCTTCCTGCATCAGAGAGTGTACCCTGTTTTTCAATACAGATAGTCCTTCACTTACAACCACAATTGAGCCCCAGATTTCTACTGCTAAGCAAGAGAGTTGTTAAGTGAATTTTGCCCTATTTTAGGACTTTTTTTGCCACAGTTGATAAGTGAATCACTGCAGTTGTTGTCATGGTTCCAACAAGATGAAACTCTTCAAAAGAACTTTGAGGCATTGTTTACCTTAAGAATCTTTATTTTGAGTAGCATAACATCAGCACTGCATAATCTCCAGCCCACCAATTCCTTATCAGCTCTGGTTACAATAACCTTGTTTCTCAACTTGGTTTAGTGTTGTTATGTCTAGCTGGACTCTCGTTCACATCCCCCTACCCAGCACCATCTAACTCTAAAAGCAAAAAGTAAAAGATGGCTACATTTCCATCTGCTGTCAATGCAAAAACATCTGATGTTAGCAGTATTGACAGTTGTTATGTTAGTAACACGGTTATTAAGTGAATCTGGGTTCCCCCGCTTTGCTTGTCAGAAAGTCGAAAAGGTGATCACATGACTCTGGGACAATGCATAAATCTGAGACAGTTGCCAAGTGTCTGAATTTTGATCACATGACCATGGGATGCTACAACAGTGGTTAAGTGTGAAAAACGGTCACGAGTCACTTTTTTCAAGTGCTGTTGTAACTTTGGACTATCACTAAATGAACAATTGTAAGTTGAAGATTACCTCCACATGGAATGTGAAACCTTAATAAGGTCAACTGCAAAGCCTGAGATCTTTTCGCTTTAGCCTTTGTTGTCCATGAATAGCTCATCATTTTATTAACTGGTAACATAATGTGTTTCTCTGACTCAATTTTTGTATGCAAGGCATTTGTGAAAATAAGGAAAATTTAACGATGTAAAAGAAGTCTCATCCAGAAATCACTTAACAGTCCTGTGTTTTAGTCACTGAGAAACATAATCCAAAAGAGCTTCCCAATGGAGATTAAAAGCAAAGGTCTTGAGACTATGGATTTTCAGATCTGCAACTTCTTATTAAATCAATTTTAGAAAAGGAAAGATGGCAGGTTGGCTATTAGTCTGCCTGAGTGCTTCACTTACTCCTTTGCTACATCAGTCAAAATGATCTCAGTGGGGCGTGTATTTACTGCCACTGCTTAACTGTCTCTAACACAATGCTTTCTCCGTCATTAATTTCTAATCTTCTTGGTCTTGTTTTAGCACAGATGCCTACAACTCCTCTGTGAGTGCAGAAAAGATATAATTAGCTTGTTTGCCTGATGAGAATTCAGCAGCAAGCTCAGAATATTTAAAGCTACACTTAAAACTAGTAATTTTGTTCTCCCTGAAGCAACGTTTGCAGTCTTAATCCCAGATTCTAGACTCACAAAAATCAGACAATTCAAAGATGACAAAATTAGAACTAGTTTTGCAGTCTTACAGTAGAACAAAACTTCTAATCCAATCACTGTGACAGCCTGATGTACTAGAGCAGATCAGGGTGATCCTTGCTGGTTTGCCTAACAATAGGATGTCTTCTAATATTAAAAAAAAAAAAAAATCCAATTTCACCATCTCTATTCATCTACCAAGATGGACTGAACCCCTTATTTTCATCAGCCACTTCATACATTCATTCTCCCTCTAATTGAATTCAGTTAGGTCTCTCACCTACTGAAATCGGACATAACCCCTGAATCCAGTGGTGGGATTCAGCCAGTTCACACCAGTTCGGCAGAACCGGTAGCTAATTTTTTGTTGCCCAAGCCCAGAATGGACTTCCGGAAGCGGCATCCACACAGAGAACCGGTTGTTCACATATTTGAATCCCACCACTGCCTGAATCTATGCATCACCCCAAACCATGCTTTAATACTGATCATAATATGATTAGTACATATTCCCACATAACAGGAAAAAAATCAAAACCACTGTAATAACTTCACTTAATGTTTGTGGAGATTCTC